CTTTTTGTCAGAATGATAGGAATTTTATAAATAGCACACATAATTACAACTAGAAGACAGCCAAAGGCCGAATCTAGTGAGAGGACACTGCAAGGGGAGCTTAAACACAACTAACCCACGATAATAAACCTAACTCCCAACAAGAGAATCTAAGGTCCCAAAGGGATAATAACACCAACTCCCAACATGAGAATTTAGATCCCAAAGGGATAATAAAACTAGCGAAATAAAGAGAAAACACAACGAAACACAAAAAAACACACAAGCTCACAAATCCAAAATAGAGCAAAACAAACAAAAGAGCCCTTCCCACAACCGGACTAGTACACCTGACAAGCCTCAAGATAACACCACAATCGACCACCAAAACGACCAGACCAAGGCCCAAATTCAACTCCAGAAACTGCAACATCCGGCCTAACTACAGCCCCACCCACACCACAGACCTCCGCCCCGCCCACCTAAAAGCTTGCAGCTCCTTGTTATAATTAATGGAAGGCGCTAAAAGCTTGCAGCTTCTTGTTCACAGACTTATAAGTATATACATAATCAAAACTGAGAGCCAGCTAATTTAAAAATCTTGGGACGAAAAAGGAAAAGAAAAGGAATGGTAGCGGAGATAAAAAAAAACTGAAGCTAACAAATGTAGTACTCATACCACTACCAAGCAATCATCCATATAAAGAACAAAATTGGGCTCAGACGTGTGTGCTAATGATATACTATGAGCAGTGAACTTTTTCATGTTATATATTTCTGTCGAACAAACCCAGCTATGTGAGCAAAAATGGAACAATCTAACCACTTGAGGCTACAAGAAAACATAAATGGGCAACTAGCAAATAAACCAGGACATAGATTATATCACCGCAAAACAATAAATAGCATAACTAAGCAATTCCCTTGTTTCATAAACTAATCCATCCGCACAAAGTAACAACGCTCAACATACTAAGTATGAGCAGTAAACTTTTTCTTGTTATATATTTCTGTCAAACAAACCCAGCTATGCGAAAAAATTGGAACTTTCTACTCACTTGAGGCTACAATCATACATATATTAAGCAACTAGCAAAGAAAGCCAGAACATGGATTATATTATATCACTGCAAAACAATAAATACCATAACTAAACAGTTCCCTTGTTTCATAAACTAATCCATCCGCACAAAGTACAAAACGCTTAACAAACCCACCTAACAAAAATGCCAAGTATCTTTGTCAAATCAAATCTCGTGCGAAAAATAAGTTCAAAGCTGATTATAGGTCAGTAACTAAATGTACCACAAATTTCATCGAACACAATCATCAAAAACTCATACCCTCAGAATCTGCAGCTTGTTAGAGAAAGCAATCGCTACCCAATACCATTGCAGCTGCTCGATCTCTGCTCCTGCCGATTTATTCTCTCCAGGTAAATCGAAAGCGGATGCAGTGCTCCTCGCACTTAGAATCCTTTGCCAACAATGCTTCCCAAAATTCTGACAGACTTCTCTCAAGAACAGGATGCCATTTTTCCCCGCATTCATCAGAAGTTTCGAACATTACATTCTCAAGATCTTGTCGCCAATGAAAGCCCCTTGTTATTCGGCCACTTTCAAATTCTGCCTTCTCCATCCCAAGGATCTTGCACATCAACTTTGTTGCTTCGTTGTGCCGTAGGTGGGACATCAATCTGGATTCTGGGCCAACAACAAGATACCGTTGTATACTTATCGGACGACAAATGCAAAACAGATTATCCATAAACAACGACACGGAATGCGAAGATAGATTGAGCTTCCCAATATCTAGAGATATTTCGGATCTTCTTATTGCCCTGAGCAGTTGACCTACTTTATCCAACCTTGGTGAAGTCTCCGCGCCCAAATAATCAGGCAGCAAGGTTATATTCGACTTCCACTTTTCAGAAGTTGTCGTGAAAGAAAATGACTCGGGAGCACAACCTTCGTACTTAAACATGACAATGCTTGGCACATCAATAGCAGCCCTGTTCAACATTTGCCGAAACGTGATTTCCAATTTCCTGATTGAACGACTGGACAGCTCAAATTCCTCAAAGCCAATGCAACATTTCAAGGATAGACTTTCAAGGCAAGGGAAGTTACGCGAACAGAAGCAGAACAATTCTCTAGAGAGCCACACGCCAAATAGACTTAAAGACTTAAGAAGAGGAAAATAGGTGTTCATGTCGTGATACCAATTCGAACGGGTAAAAACAACGATTTTCTCAAGAGATGGGACGTCAATTTCAAGAATCAGCGCCTCCTCATTGTCATAGGATATAAATCTCTTGAGAAAGCGAGCCCTTTTATCAACTCGAATGGCTCTAAACACTTTGCAGGAAATGAGATCTAATGTAATCAATGGGCAACTACATATTATCTTCTCAAGAGTTTTCTCTGTAATACAAACGTTCGAAAGGCAGAGTTCTTTGAGATTCACGAACAATATTTTCGTGTCGAAACAACACAAGGTGCAGTCTGTGAGGTACAAACATTGGAGGGATTCGGATTTGAAAAGGACAGTGTGCAGATCAAGGAATGCATCTTTACGTGTATCGAGAAAAAGACTAAAGGCCTCTACAGCCCAGTCCCGAACGACCACCGGAATCCACTTGTGAAGAAACAAAACCGACTCGGAATCGGGGTTTGACATGGAAAGAGAGAATTCTTGCGGACAATTGACATGGAAAGAGAGAATTCTTGCGGACAAATCTTGTGATCCAAGTATAGTTGCAAGCACCATTCGAGGACCTTGATAAACTCTTGTTTACTTTCTTTAAACTCGATGTGTCGCATGGTGAAATTGGGGCGTGTGGGGCCAAGATAGCGCCATGATTTGGAGAGTAGGCAAGTTCTAACGGCTTCTTCTTGGGGGAGGTAACGGAGTATATGGTGCAATATCGGCTGTGGCAATTGGGATATTATGTCGTCCATCAATGTTGGAGCGTTCATAATTTCTGACTTGTTTTCTTTGTTCCCTTCTCTGATGATCGCCCCAAATTTTTAACCTTGGCTTCTTTCTGTGTAGGTATGGCGGCGCATGTATGTATAATGTATGGTATACAACTTTTTTTAATTAGGATTCTATTACTGTTATTTGCCTAATTACAAATTTGGCCATTTTAATTAGTAACTTCCCTTAAGTTTGATTAGTTAAATTGAAATGTGCGTAATTTATTTACTAATACAGAGCCGTGCGATGTACGGGGTGCATAATTTTAAGGCTATTTATCCAGACTTATAATTATATACATGAATAAAGAAAAATGTACGGGATATATATAGTATGTGACCCGTGCGAAGCACGAGATATATTTATTTGGAGAATATTATATTATAAGATGCAATATTCAATAAAAGTTTATGATACGCAAGAAAATTGTACAATGTTCAATAAAAGTTTTATAATATTCAAGTTGAGTCTTAAAGTCTCTTGTACATTAAGACTACTGACAAAATAATATTTTAATCAATAAGTTTCCTTTCCTTGTAGCCAAATTGTGAATGTGATTTGAGGAGTACAACAAATTCCTTTCCTTGTAGCCAAATTGTGAATGTGATTTGAGGAGTACAACAAATCGATATATAACTGACTTGCTTTTTTCATTGTAGTTTTTTTTTTTATAATGAATTTAAATATATTCTAAAATATAACAAAAATTAATTTTTTTATTATAATTAGGAATTTTACTAAATATAGACTCTCAATCTATAGTGTTAATCAACGTTTAAGTCTAAAAAATTAGGAATTTTTACCTCTTTTAATCAACGTTTAAGTCTAAAAAACAATAGAGTTATTATAAGTTTTTTTTCTACATCTTTTAAAACATTAAATATGAGCATGTTAGGGCTACCTTGTAAAATAATTAATATATTATCTCACTAAAACATTTGTACTAATAAAAATTTAATTAAGTCTTTTTCTACATCTTTTAAAACATTAAATATGAGCATGTTAGGGCTACCTTGTAAAATAATTAATATATTATCTCACTAAAACATTTGTACTAATAAAAATTTAATTTTAGCATATAAATTTATCCCTTGATATAAGAGAAAGTAACAGTTTTATTTATTGTTGTTCACCATATAATATTAAATTATTATTTTATTATATAATAAAAAAAAGAATATTGTTAAATAGTGTAGTAGAATTGTTATAAAATTATATGATTTTTTTTTTACAATATGGATTTAATATTTTTTTATGATTTGATAATACAAACAAATATATACTTAACTTTGACAAATAAAACAAATAAATACTTTAGTAAGTATTTAATATATATATACTAAATAGGAATATATTTGGTATAATCAAATACCAAATATAATCAAATAAGTCAAAGTGTACATTTTTATTTGGTATTTGATTTTTTTATTATTAAAATCTTTTTATTATACTTATCTTTTTAAAATAAAACAAATAAATAAATCAATTAAATAAATAAAATATTATAATACCAAAATAGTAATGGCATTTCATGCAGTTGACTTTTCTGGATAGTAAATGTAGTAAATAGAATCTCCTTTTATATAAGTATAGATATGATATTATATTATGTTGCTCAAAATAGTAATGCATTTATTACATTGACTTTTTTTTTCCGAAACGATAGAGGTACTGTTTTAATAGCACAAAGTGCGAAAAGAAAGCAGCCAAAAGCTGAATAATACAACCAGAGGCTATAAAACTGAGAGGCTAATCCGAAGATCGCCTAGAACCGTCTAGCAACGCTAGAATGACAAACTCGCAACTACACTAAAAAACTAACACAAACAAAAACTAAAACAACTAAAAAGATCCCACCAGGATAATACCCAAGCGTCTGATCCCAACAGGATAATAAGGTGACGCTCGGGCTCATAGGGGCATACAGGGGACAACGGCCCA